CCCCGCCCCCTGCCTAACTCTACCCCACTACTGAGATCAGGCCCAGCTTCCATCAGAAGGGAAAGGGCCTACAGGCTGTAGAACTTGAGGCTCCTGTCCATGCCTGTTGAAGCGATGAACTTGGCATGGTGGCCAAAGGCCACCCCTGTAGTCAGGCCACTATGCTCTGAGGAGAGAGAAAAGGCAACAGTGAGGCTTTTCATCTTTTAGGTCTGGACACTGACCCCTAATAATATGCCCTAACACAACCGTCCCTCGCCAGTCAGTAGTGATCATGCGGCCTGTGACGCTCACTTGTCTCTCCTCAGTCGCCCATACACTCACAAGGGCAGGGTTCCAGTTAGACCTGCCCACCACTTATCTCCAGTGCCTCCTTCAGTGCCTGGCACTCAATGTTTATTGAGGGAATGAATGAGTAAAAGCGCCCAGCCCTCCACCCACAATCTGAGCTTTCCATCAGCTAAAATGGAAAACCTTGGTGTGCTTGGCTATTGGTACATGTTTAGTTCTAACTCCGTGCCTGTACCCGAACAGTGCATTAGCCTATCCTAACTCATGGGGCCCAACTTCAGGGCACTTGGGCCCCTAATACAGGGCAAGAATGAGTCAGGGCAGATGAGGCTGGGTAACGCTCCTCATGGGACTCGGATACTTCATGGACACTAGGGCAAATTCCTCCTAGATTAGGATCATACCTAAAGCTAGCTCCCCCCTAACAAGCCCACCCTATGCTTCCAGCCTGCCATCTACCTAACTCAGTTCCAAATCAAAACTACCATGTCCAACATAGGGTTAAAACCAATGGGCCATACAGTTAGGTATGGACACTACTGTACACACACATTGGGCAGGGCTCGGGAGAATATGGGCATGGCAGAAGTATCTTGATCCTGCCCACCATTTGCTATTGAAGAGAATTTCATGAGCAAAGAGCAGCAATTATCAATTTATTCAGCATCATGAGCACCAGGCACCCTGTTACCACACAGGCCACCCTCAAGTCACCAACTGGCACAATTTGCAAAGCAGTGCCAATGCTCTTTTTTTATTTTTAAGGGAAAAACAAAGACAAAGGAGTTAAAAAGCTCTCAAAGATAAAGTCATGTTCTCAGGACCGCTAACCACCAGGAGGTCAGAAGCCCTGCTGCCTACTGTCTCATACTTTTCTTCTCTAGCACTGAGAATTTCATTAGTGCACAGACAGGTCTATTTGCTGCTCTAACCCCACAATGGACTAAAATTCAAACTGAATAACGGCAGCAGATAGATCCTTACTACGTGCCAGATGCTATTCTAACCTATACTTATTTTCTTCATTTGAACCTCACAATCCCACTAGGTACAAACTACTATCGTTCACAAATTTCTAAGGCTCCAGAGTCGTTAAGTAACTAGCCCAATGTCACACACGCACTGAGGTTTCCACTGAACTAAACCGCAGTTGTCCACTTACTGGCTCTTTAGTCATTTCCTCAGTCACAATGTTCTACTGCTTCAAGCAGTGATTAAAAGCTGCCTAGGCAAATTCTAGCCAAACCCTAGAGATTCCTAATGGAGTAAGGCTTCCCCATTTCTCTTGGGGCCTGGGCACCCAGAAACCTCAGAATTGCAGGACCAGCCTCTACCTGTAAAGTGAAGAATCTCTGTCCACTGTTTGCAGATATAAATCTGGACATCTGTGCCCCCAAGGGCCAGGTAAGTACCACTCTGGTCAAAGATCAGTGACTTCACCTGCCAGAACCAAAAAGAAGAGGTTACATAAGAGAAATAGAAACTATGGGGAAATGAGGGACAAACAGAAGTAGTTTAGATTAATTCAGTCAATAATCAACAAACAAGGAAGAAAAACAACTTAGAGAGCTGGGGAGAAAGGACACACCTCAAAGTTGTTATCTAGCTGCAATGTCTTAAAGTTTTTAAGCTTGCGTAGATCCCAGAGCTTGACCGAGGAGTCGTCAGCTGCTGTAGCCAGGTAATAACCATTCTCGGAGAAGGCGATGCTGGTGATGGGGCCTGAGTGGCCAGGGAAGTTGGCCACATTGGTACGTTCCTACAGAGGGGTTGGGTAGTAAAATATATCACATCACCTGCAGGTCATGACAGGAAGAAAATGGGACTCACCAAACTCTACCTTTGAGACATCCTTCTCCAACTTTCAGGGAAGGATAGCCACCATAAATTCTCTCTACACTTGGGACACCCCCAGGGCATCACAAAACTCTGACCGTGAGCCTCAAATGGAGGCCTGCCATGTCCTACCTTCAAGTCCCAGATCTTAATCTGAGAGTCCATGGTTCCTGTTCCAAAAATGAGCCCATCGGGGTGGAACTGTGCACAGGTGAGAGCTGTGGGGAGGGGGAGATGGACCTGTACTCAAAGCCCCCTGGGGAGAGACTGAGAGCAGAAAGAGGTTTTGTTCCTCACATTCTTCACTGTACCTGTACCTTCACTATACCCAGTGCCAGGTGCAAGTCTGGCACTAGGCAGGTATTGTTGAGAAATGAATGTTTATAAGAACAAATGAGCAAACAGCTGAGTAAAACAAAAACAATTAATAAATAGCAAATGAAAGAGCTCAGAACCTCTGAGGCAACTTACAGCAGCCAGAGGTCTCATCTGTCACCTTGGTGAGCACACGCCCTGTCTGGATGTCAGAGAAGGCCCAGTACTAAAAAAAAAAGACAAGAAAGCCAGTGAGAAAGTGGGTCCCCAGGGTCTTGTGGCGCTTTGGAAAGGCAGAGACCCTGGTTTAACAAACCCTGGCAAAGCCAGCCCTTCCCAGCAGAGAGGAAATACTCTTCTCTGGGATTCTGGGGAACCAACTAGAGTTGGTAAGATGAACCCTCTTCCCAGGGTATTTAAGCTAGGGAATCCAGAGGACTCTTTAGGACCCTGGCTAGGGCCTCACCTGGTCATCAGAGGAGCTCAGGAGATAGTCACCAGTGGCGTGGAGGCTGAGGCCTGTTACAGCACTCTCATGGGCCCGAACAACCTGTACACAAGAGGCGTTCGGGACAGACCAAATCCTGATAGTGGCATCTGGAGAGGCAGAAAACACCAGGTCCTAAAAGGAACACAAAAAGGCAGAATATCAGAGAGGTGGCTCATAACAATCTTACAGGGACTAGGGATGGTGAAAACTACCAATAATTGCTTCTGTTTTTAGCCCTGCTCACCCTAGAAACACTTATCTATTTCAATGATGTCTAAGAGGGCCAAGAGTAAATGCTATTAAAGATGATAAATCAAATAGCATGAGGGAGTGTGGATCTTGCAGAATAATCATGGAGGGCATGATGGCCTTGCCAGATCACATGCCAATGCTAGTACACTTGCTTAGATCATCAACCAGTCTATCTGCTTCGTAGGAAAAGACTCATCCCACTGGAAAAATGCTTATTCTTTCAAAAGGAGAAAAAAAATATGGAACTATTGAGTTGATGGAGCATTTAATGAAGAAATTTCTGGCATTACAGAAGTATTAATGGTTGGAAGAGTAACAGCCAGGGCAATGACCAAGTGTACATCTTATGTCCAGTTTAAATTACAGTCTTTTTGATCTTGGACTTTACAATGAAGCTGTGACAATTAGCCATGAGTTCCCCTAGTTTTATCCTCTAGGCATTATGTACTATGACTGACCCAGATGAATTTACTTATGATTACAAATGAACTACATTGAAGGCTACAGTAAAAGAGGTCTCCAATTATGAGAGACTCATAATTTCTTAAAATTTAATTTGCTCTTTTTAAAGTTCCATTCTCCTAACTATAGTTATTGTAATTTGCAAGGATTTTTAAAGAATTTATTTAATTTCATTTACTATTATTATTTTTTAATTTGACCAGAGAGAGAGAAAGGGAAAGTGAAAACAACCCAAGGGGTCCAAGACTCAAACCGCAGTCAATCATTTAGGAGTCCAGCACCTTAATCACTTGCTGACCCCCTATTTTGCAGCTTTTGATGAAATGGCATATTGATAGTTCTCACCTACGTTCTCTTATAAATAATTACTTTTACAGGATATGGTCAGAGTAGTTGCAAGAACAAAGTCGTTGTCTTATTAACAAAAATTTAAGTAGTACATACGAAAAATAAATAAATAAACCACCATCAGGCCCATACAGGAAGCCTCTCCATCTAGTGGTAAAGAGCATAACTGCACCAAGAATAATTTTCCTTTCCATTTGAAGATCAAAGAAAGCAATGTGGCCAGTGCAGTAAGAACTGAATGTTCTATTCATCTTACATGGAAGCAGCCCCATGCCGTTAATGGCTACTGTACTGCACAGCACAGATCTGAACAGTAACGGTCTGGAAGGGGCTGTGAGGCCATACTCCAGAGCATCCCTTACAGTTTCAGGAGCAAGGGAATTTTCCCAAAGAATGAGAGAACTTACAATCAACTATTTAGTTTAGTTAAGCCATTAAAGCCTTAAGATAAAAACAACTGCTATCATTTACAAATGCAATATCTTAGGGGACGGTAACTAACACCAAGCAAGCAAGAAAACAATGTCTTCAACTTGAATAAATTTAGTTCTATGAAAAATCAGCCATGCTACTCTTGTATTTTTCATTACCCTAGGTTCAAGAGAAAGGCTAACTGGAAAGCACTGATCCACCAACTGTCCTGCAGTCCCAGGTCCAAACTTAGACTGAAAACTCAAATTCCAGACTATCATCTGGTCAAATGAGCTACCATCCCCTTCTAGACTAGAGCCTCTATCTACTTTACCCCTAAGTGCTTTTAATAGTCAATATCAAGTTTTAAACCCTCCACACCACCACCACCCTGGGATTAGAAAGTTCAGATATATTTGTTTTTCTTAAGCACCTGTGAGTCAATTTTGTATTGAACTGGGACCAGCAGTTGGCGTAATGCCTGTGTCGCTGGACTCCCATGTAGTCAACACAGGCACATGTGCCCAAGATCCCGAGAGGAGAAGGGATTGCAATGTGGCCATCCCCCCTGGGGGGTGATTTCTCGCTTTCTGTCTCTCTCTCTCTCTCTCTTTCTGGTGAGCACATGTACCCTGTAACAAAAAACCCTCTCCAAAAAAGAAAGAAAGAAAGAAAAAAGATTGCATTGAACTGTTTTCTGTACTTTGTATTATAAAAACTTTTCTTGGGACTGGCAGGTGGCACAATAGTTAGGGGCACTGGACTCTCATATGGCCGACCACGATTCAAGTCCCGGGCCATATGAGAGTCCTGGCGGCTTGCTATCCCAATTTCTCTCTCTTTCTCACTCTGTCCCTCTCTGGTCAAATCAAAACTAAATAAATTAGGGAACCAGCAGTTAGCGTAATGGCTAGTCGCAGGGTTCCCACGTAGTCGACTGCGGTTCGCATCCCCGACCCGGTGGCTTAAAACTCATGCCGGGCGCGTGTGCGTGCGTGCCCAAGATCCCAAGAGGAGAATGGAGGAGAAGGAACTGCAGTATGACCATCCCCCCTGGGGG